TATATATATATATTGTTTAAAACCCTTTAGCAAGAGCACAGCTGAAACTGTATTATGTGAGGGAGAATGGGAAAATCAAATTCTCCCAATCCTATATCACTGGCTTCCCATCAGGAAACAGACAGCAGAACTGAAATCCAAGAATCAGAACTCTACAAAGATGACATATACATCTTATTCTGACCTTGTACACCTGCACTGGTGTGTGGATTGTAGGGAGATTTCACTTTATTTTTAGGAAGATCTACAGGTAGAGGATGATATTCACCCTGAGTAACAGAAATCATAGTTAACCATTTAATGAAAACACATGAAGACTTCACTACTTTCCTGAAGGCTGCTTATGTTTCAGCTGTTCCAGGTGAAAAAGCAAAGCCACTGAGGAACCCTTGACCTCTACAACACTCCGTAAAGGAGGGAAGAACAATGAGCTCAAAGTGCACTTCCTTCACTTCAGGGAGGCTAGGGTGAGTAACTGTCTTCCTGGAAATCACTCCTGTTCCTCCCCAACAATGGGTTTTCCTGGTATAAAAATGGATGCGCCCTTCCACAACATGGACGGTGAGGACACAGAGGCGAACCAAACACAAGGGATGGAAAGACAGATCCAGAGCGTACAGCAGAATGATGTGGCCTTCACGTGGATGCCAGGAGCAAAAGCAAAGGAGGGAAGAAGGCAGGAGTGAGAGCAGCTCTGGCACCAACGGGACCTGGTGGTTCAGAGCACAAGACAGAGACAGAAGGGGTGTGGGACATCCTAGTGAGTTCACAGGACTCACAGCAAGTCCTCATCGTTGGATGCTGTGGCTCTTATAGAGAGATTTAGTATTTCTACAGCAAAAACCATCCCCTTGTTGAAAACCTACCATTATCCACTCGGAAATGTTTGCTGTCAATATTTATTATGGATACTCTGAGGAAAATAGAAATAGGACCATCTCTTTGCTAGTGAAGCCCAGGTAGATGGGTGTCTCTGCAACAAGAATAACCACTGAGGGATCAACCTTCTGAGAAAGGATGGCCAGCCTAGTCCACCACCCCCAGCTTGGAAAATGGAACCTATGCCAAAAAGACAGGGTAGGTATCAAGACTGAGATGTGGCAAGGAATAGAGTGATGCCTAGATCTGTTTTGCTCAGGACAGGGAAAGTATTTCCCATGGTCAGTTTTGCAGGACCGATCATCAAGATTCAATTACTATTTGCATCCTATATAATAAAAGGCTAATATGCAAATCAACTGAACGGCAGAACAACCAGTCGCTATGACACGCACTGACCACCAGAGGGCAGATGCTCAACGCAGGAGCTGCCCCCTGATGTTCAGTGCGGGGGAGTGGGCCTAAGGTGTCAGTCGGACATCCCCCGAGGGCTCCCAGACTGCGAGAGAGTGCAGGCTGGGCTGAGGGACCCACCCTGAGCGCCCGAATTTCATGCACCAAATTTTATAGCACTAGTAAATAGCTGTAATTCATTTGAGGTAGTTAAGTTACTTAAGTTTGATGATAAGTAAACTATGTTAACTTTATATAATCTCTGCAGACTGGATAATTCTCAAATATGCTCTTATTCTTTAAAGTACTATTTTAAGAGGCCCCCCCCCCCCCCCAGCTATTGCTTACATAAGAAATAGTTTGAACCTTGGGGAAACTTAAAAGGAGTCTGACAAGAACAGACTCTTCCCTGAGTGAGTCTACCTATAACCCACCTACTCAGAGACAGGAAGGGAGTAAGGAAAAGGTTGCAAAATTAGCATTAAAATAGCAACATCAGCTTGCAATGATTCACCAGCATGTTTATCTTTAGAGGGCTAAATTAAGTAGAACATTCTTCTTCTTTATTCTAACAGCATTCTCTCTCCCTTCAAAACACAACAACCAAACAAACTCTAGTCCTCTTCATGGAAGCCTTTACCGGGGAACTAGAATTAAGGCAGATGCTGGCCCCCTTAAAATTTGGATAAAGTTTTTATTTTATGATTTAAAATGTGAACATCGAAATACAATACACGGCATGGAACTCTCAGCATCGGTTCATCAAGGCAGGCTACAGTGTTTGTTTCAGGCACATGGTACAGCTTGCTCTGTGCAAGTCTGAATTAAAAATATGTTAGCTCATCAGTCATTTGAGTCTGGAAACATTTAAATAATTAAGCTCCAAACCCAGTCAGCACCATAGAATGCTCACAACCCTGGAGATGCCCCGGGCCTTGTCAGGCCTGCTCAACAGACCAAAAAACTCGCCCAGAGCCGAGTGAATGCGGCATAACACCCTCCACCCACTGAATGTGGCACAAACCCCTCCAGTTAGGGTCATGCCCAATAAAGCTAGAATATCAGAAGTTTACCACCTACACTCCTTCCTTTACCTAATCAACCTTGAGCGTGTCATTTGACATAGTTGCCTTGGTTCATATATATTTTAGTGGCCGTCATCTAATTGTACCTATTAATGAGGAACGTCATTCCTTATCCATCTATATTTTGCATCAAATGCGTCACACCTGATAACAGTTTCTAACTTTGTTCTCACTACAAGAATCTAAAATAGGCTTGCTTCTAAAACCCAGTTTGAAACGGTAACAGGAAAAGACTGACGTTAGGAAGCTGTATGTTATTCATAAAATCGTTATGTAATAGTCTTCATTTCAGACTGGCTTCCCTCGGCTGATGTGTTTGCGAAGAAGCTCTGCTAAAGCAATAGTGTGGTGAAGGCTTGGGGGAGGGGGAGGGGGGTGGGTCCATGGGGAAAAAGGGGGACATCTGCAATACTTTCAACAATAAAGATAAAGTTTTTAAAAAGCAAGCTGATTGGAAGAAGAGAGCCCCCCAACCGTGTCAGACAGCCCCCCAGACCTGATTCACCCACCCACAGGCTGGTTAATGAGAGCAAAGCAGGGCCACGTCCAAGTCCTTTGTTGTGGCTCCAGCACAGCCTCCGGGCACAGGAGCTGCAGCCAAGCCCTGCCAGCCCAGAAGCGCAGGCCGTTGGCTCCACACCACTGGATGGCAAGCTCAGAGGATGTAGAGCTTGGCCAGCTCGGTCTCGCCGAGGCCAGTGCTGAGGCAGAAGCCAGGGCTTACCCCCTGGACCATAATCAAGTCAAGGGCGCTTCCTATCTCACTACCTGGGAGGCAGCTGCCGCGACACCCTGCCTTCCTTTGGAAGACAATTTGTGGCCTTCTACCCATGCCAATGCCTGAGTGTTGTTTCCAAATGCCACCAGAATATTTTCATTGGTTCTAAACAGGAGCAGTTAACCTTGAATGGCTTTTCAGATGAACCACCGTCAAAAACACACACTCATTTGACAAATCCATTCCATCAGCACTCACTGAGCAGGGATGCAGGCGGGCACTGAGCAGAGTGCAGGGGCTCAAGGCCACAGGCCGCTGCTCCAAGGTGACACCATAAGGCGGAGATAAGACGAGCACACAGGTCCCCATGCCAGTCCATGCCCATGTGTCCAAATATTTACAAGTGATAAAAATCAAGCTAACAAACTGTTAACTAAAATACGTTCTATCCTCCAGCCTTAACAAATATACCTTCATAATGACCTGGAACGCGGCCATGCTGAGAGCCACCTCTGGCCCGAGGCCCACCCTTCTCTGCCCCCCAGGTTTGCCCTGTACAGTGAGAGCTGCATGCCACACTCGTATCCTTATACGTACTTTGTGTCAACACGTCCAACAAACAGCTGCCCCTAGGCGGCCCCGGTGGTCCAGGAATACAAACGCCAGCAGTACAGTCTGCCCACACCCTCATAAAGATGGGGCTAGGGAGCCAGCCCAGGCGGGCCCTGGAAGTGGGCTGAGGGCTGTTTGGAGCAGGAGTTCCAAGACCCCAGGTCCCCAAGGCACGGCCTAGAAAGGGGTCAGGGCTCCAGGCAGCACACTCCCGGTCCCGTCACTCCCCGTGTCTGAGGGCAAGGGCAACACCGGGCCACTGTCTGTCTATACCAGAGTCCTCTGAGCCATCCCTTATCCCACTTGACCTTCACTGGCCTTAGGCGAGGGGCCCGTAGAGGTCACTGCTGTGCCCTGCCTCCCTCCTGAACTCACAGCCTCCTCGGGTCTGTGGCCTGTGTGTCACACGGGCGCTGCTCTCTCGTACCCCTCAACTGAGCAAAGGCTTCCACAGGGCCCTGGTTCTCTGCTCCTGTCCCACCCTGTGGGGCAGGGCACGGGGTGACACGATCAAGCAACTGGCCTAGAACACCACGCAGATGCTTCTTTTTCTGTCTCCATGTGTTTGATGCAGGGTCACTCCAGAGTGTCCTCAATGTGTCTGGGCCTGTCTGCCTCAGGATTATCCTCGAGCGATTCTTTCCAGTCTTTTATCTCATGCCAGGCCGAGGCTTTTGAAACTCAGTGGCCAAGGGTTGGCTTCACTGTTCGGGCATTCTGCCCCGTGCCCCTTTCCTAAGGAAGTGAGTGCAAGGCCCCAGCTGCCCCGGCTGAAGGGGACGTCACAAGGAGCAAAGAATGACAGGAAAAAATATGTTAACATTTCAAAATACTGTCTCAAAAACTCATATACCATTACTGTAAGAAATGCAGTCCTTCCTATACACATATAATTATACTGGCCTGCTGTCAGTGGGATATAAATGTAGAGCTTTTCTGCTAGGGGGTGTAGATTTGTTCCATTTCTTCTGTGGTTGCAGCCAGTCTACCTAGTGACAAGCACATGGCGAGACAGCCATCTGGGCTTGGGGACAGGATGAAGCCACACAACGGAGCAAAGGGAACTGCCCACACAAAGACATCAAAAATAGACCATCCTTGTGAACGAAATTTCTCTACCGCAGTGACCTCCGCTAATCAGACATGAGGCTTTTTCTTTCTTAGATCTTCAGATATAGCATAGAAGACAGCTTGTTCCTGTTAATACATAAATAAATCCCAATAGAAAGGTGGACTCCTGGAGTGGTATTTAAACCTAAAAAGTTTACTGAATGGCCATCACTTGGTGGTATTTCCTTCCTTCCTCTTCTTCAATAGTACCCACTTGTGATCACAAATGCCTATTGAATGTGCAACCCGGAATCCTGTAATTAACATTCGAACAACGATTTCACGTAAAGCCACATAAATAACACAGGGGAGGTGAGACGCTGTGTTCTTCTTGATTAGTGACTTAAAATAACGGATACGAGCCGCCCCACGCTGGGAGACATTTGCTCCGAAACTGCATTTAATGTCGGAAACTGGCATTCTCTCTGAACACTTCCACCAGGAGGACTTGTGTGAAAACTAGTATGTATTTCTGAAGGTGGATCCTTCAGCCTCGAGGTGGTAAGTTCCTCAAAGGGTTTAGTTTTGGTATCTTCCCAAATACAGGGAAGACACCACAGTAAAATTCAGGTTTATTAAAATCCTATAGGATTTAATGAATGTAAGACCTC